ACACACACACACACACACACACACACACACACACACACACACACATGATTCGATGAAGGATTATCCCTCCGGTAGGTGGACCGGTGGCGTTCCTCCCGTCCGTCGCTTCTCCATCCATCCATCTCGCCGTCCGGTTGCATTTGTCTCTCAATCGGCCTCCCTCCATCACGGCCGGCGCTCAGGTAAAAACTAATCCCATTGATCAGCCGGACGTGGCGAGCGATTACCGGCTGACGGGAGACGGATGGAGGCCGGAGGACGGATCGGGGGAGCCCATCAAAGCGTCGTGAGGGAGACGTATCGGCCTCCTGCTTCCTGCCGTCCGTCCTCCGGCCGGTCCGATGATTTGTGCCGCGGCTCGAGGCGAATGTTTCCAGGTTTAAAGGTCAAATCACTGCCTCTCATACTTTTCCTCTCATAAGTCTCTGTTGCTCTGATATCTGCCGCCGTATAACTCATCTTCGGTTTGCTTTTCGCTCACCATCAATCTGGAGTTTGTTTTCTTTCCTCTCGCTGCTTCCGAAGGCGTTAAAATGACTTCGTCTGAAATCGATACTCATTTAGTCTCGGCTAATTTTTAAAAAAAAGTCTAATTAAAACGCTCAGAGTTCATGAGCTCAGGCATTTTGCTGGAGTTTAACTTTCTGAAACGTGAGCAGTTTCTGTCTTATGTCATCGTTCTGGTCTCGTTTTTCTTCACTGTGGCTCATTTTTCATTTAAACATGAAGTCTGTGCAACCAGAACAACAGGAGGAAGAGAGAGAACTGGATTATTTAATCCACAAAAATGTTAAAATAAATCTGCAATCATGTCCAACGTGTTTCCAAGTGTCCACAGGTGTCACCAACACTGTAGATATTTAACTGTTTCCATGTTTACAGTCTTTACTGACTCATTTTACTTCTTGTTTTTGTTGTTTTATGTCTCCTCAGAACAGTTTTGTCTCTTGGTGTTCATTTAAATTTGAGTTTCTCATGTTTTTTTGATGCCTTTTGCCATTTAATGTCTCATTTTTCTTGTTTTGTGCTGCTTTGGTTTAGTTTTATCGTCATTTTCTGTCTCATTTTGGTCATTTTATGTGTCTTTAGGGCAGTTTGTGGTCATTCAGTGTCTCGTTTTTCTTGTGTTGTTTTGGTTCTCATATTATATTCTCACATAGTTTTTGGAGGATTTTTAAACAAGACTCGTGGAATAAAATGATTTTGATGAAATTTTAAGGTGAGATTTGCTCATATTTTTCAGACCAAACTGCACATAATGTCACCGGGGTTGCTGAAAAATAGATATCTGATGATTCTTTGTTTTTTTTTTACAGTTTCTGGCGGATAAATGGGGTCATTTTGTCGACACCCAAAGTCAAATTTACGAAGTAGTAAGTCAGAAATCTAAGAAAAATATCTGAATTATCAGAAATGAAAGTTAAGTTTGTGATAGAAAGACAACATTTTGACTCAGCTGAAGGTTCTCTGTCGCACTGAGGAGCACAGAGTTGTTCTTTATTTTAAAATCTGGTGCAAGCTGTGCATTTCTGACACATTCTTAAATTAGGTTAGATAGATTTTTTTTTTTACACAGATTTGGTTAATTGGTCCAAATGAAGCTCACATCACAGATGATCAGTTCAGGGTCTGGAGGAAATCTCTGTGTTTTTACCGTTTCTGCTGATAAATGGGGTCATTTTGGTGATTAAAATGCTTTTCTTTTGGAGCTCAGAGGGTTAAATGGTCTAAAATTGAGAATTTATTACACCTGAAGTCAAATTGACCAAATATAAAGTCAATAATCGAATAAAAATATCAGAATCATCAGATATAAAGTCAAGTTTATGATAAAAAGACACCACTTTGACTCAGAATTGTTCCTTTTCTTTACAGAATCTGGTGCAAACTGTTTATTTTGGACACATTTTTAAATGAAACCTGCAGGATGATCTGATTTAGCTCAGATTTGGAAATTGTTTCGCTCAAGGACTGTTGAAATCTCTGTTTCTGCTGATAAACGGACTCATTTTGGAGATTCTTTTTAGAGATAAGGCGTCTTTGCAGCCTGCCGGCGGGTTCAGGAGGTTGAGGAAGTGGCCTGAGGTGAAACAGCAGCGATGTCCACAGCGCTCCCCATCACTCACCAAGTCCACGTAGGGGTCCTCCATGAGCTCCTCGTAAAAGGGGCTGCAGCCTTGGAGCTCCAGGTTCTCGTTCGCTGCCTCCCGGTCGGCCTCTCCGCCGCCGCGAGCCTGAGAAACCGTCAAAACATCATTTAAGTTGCACGGCGCCGCCCCCCNACAGAATAAAGTGATTTTGATCAAACTGAAGCTTGTATTTGGTTCTTTTCAGACCGAACTGCTCGTTACACGTGATTTAATGAAGGATTGTTGAAAAATTAAAAGTCAGACTTTTCTTTCTGCTCCGTTTTTACAGTTTCTGGATGATTCATGGCATCGTTTTGACGATTGAGCTGCTTTTTAAACCTGCCGCAGGTTTTGAGGCTCCGAGGGTTAAACATCTGAAAGTTAAATTCCACCTTTTTCTGAAATACTTCCATCAGGCCACAGAAAGTCACATTTCTGGTGATTTTTTTGTGCTTTTGTGTAATTTTGCATCTTTTTATGGTTTTTGTTGTGATTTTTTGCATCTTCTTGTGAATGAGAAACTCAGAGCAGAGCAGCTGTTTGTATTCATATGATTACTAAAAATAAAACTACAATGAGTCACGATTTCTTCTCCCGCTGGAGGTTTTGCCTCTTTTCATGTTGCGTTTGTGTGTTTTGTCGTGATTTCCCAGTTCTGTGATGCTGTCACGTGTTACGTTTTTACAGTATTTGATGGAAACACTTTATTTTTTTTGAGAATTTCTGAAGGATGTTTGCAGAATGAAATGATTTTGACAACATTCAAAGCTAAAATTATCTTTTTTTTATTCAGACATCACACGTGATGCATTCAAGGACCGTCGGAAAGATGAAGATTCTTCCTGCTTTGACAGTTTCTGGCTCAAAAATGGTCATTTTGGTGATTTTTATTTATTTATTTATTTAAAGATGACGTCTTTTAAATCTGCGGTAATAAAGTTGGTGTTAAAAACCTCAGAATGAATAAATATCACAACTGTGAGCTCAGATTTGTTCCACTGAGGAGCTCAGCTAATGCAGATTTTTACTAAATCTGGTGGAAAGGCTTCATTTCTGGAGAATATTTAAATTGCAGAATAAAGTGATTTTGATCAAACTGAAGCTTGTATTTGGTTCTTTTCAGACCGAACTGCTCGNTCTCTGTGGTGATTTTGAGCGACTTTTAAATGAGACATGAGGAATAAAGTGACTGTAACTAAACTGAAGCTTGTGTTTGGTTGTTTTTCAGACCGAGCAGCTCGTTACACGTGATCTGATGAAGGATTGTTGAGAAGCTGATGATTCTTTTTGTTCCGTTTTTACAGTTTCTGGCTGATTCATGGTGTCGTTTTGGCGATCGAGCTGCTTTTTAAACCTGCCGGCGGGTTTTAAGGCTCCGACGGTTGAATATCTGAAAGTTAAATTCCACCGTTTTCTGAAATACTTCCATCAGACCAGAGAAAGTCACATTTCTGGTGATTTTTTTGTGCTTTTGTGCAATTTTGCACCTTTTTATGGTGTTTTTGTTGTGATTTTTTGCATCTTCTTGTGAATGAGAAACTCAGAGCAGCTGTTTGTATTCATATGATTACTAAAAATAAAACTATAATGAGTCACGATTTCTTCTCCCGTTGGAGGTTTTGCCTCTTTTTATGTTGCGTTTGTGTGTTCTGTCGTGATTTCCCAGTTCTGTCACGCGTTACGTTTTTACAGTATTTGGTGGAACACTTTATTTTTTGGAGAATTTCTGAAGGATGTTTGCAGAATGAAATGATTTTGACGACATTCAAAGCTAAAAATATCTTTTTTATTCAGACTTCACACATGATGCATTCAAGGACTGTCGGAAAGATGAAAATTCTTCCTGTTTTGACAGTTTCTGGCTCAAAAATGGTCATTTTGGTGATTTTTATTTATTTATTCTTGTAAAGATGACGTATTTTAAATCTGCAGTAACAAAGTTGGTGTTAAAAACCTCAGAATGAATAAATATCACAACTTTGAGCTCAGATTTGTTCTGCTGAGGAGCTCAGCTAATGCAGGTTTTTACTAAATCTTGTGGAAAGGCTTCATTTGTGGAGAATATCTAAATTACAGAATAAAGTGATTTTGATCAAACTGAAGCTTTTATTTGGTTCTTTTCAGACCGAACTGCTCGCTACACCTGATTTAATGAAGGATTGTTGAAAAATTAAAAGTCAGGTTTTTCTTTCTGCTCCGTTTTTACGGTTTCTGGATGATTCATGGCGTCGTTTTGGCGATTTAGCTGCTTTTTAAACCTGCCGGCAGGTTTTAAGGCTCCGACGGTTGAACATCTGAAAGCACAATTACACCTTTTTCTGAAATACTTATATTTTTTATTCCATCAGGCCAGAAAAAGTCAAATTTCTGTTGATTCTGTGTGTTTTTTTGGTGATTTTGCATCATTTTGTGTTGATTTTGA